ATTGTCGGTATTTTGATGATTTTAGCGACATTATTTACCGGAATTCTTTTAAATTTGGAATTTGATGTTCGTAATGTATACTACAGCATAAGACAGAAAATGGGTCATGTAGATCTACGTCTTCGTATAGCCCCCATAAACAGTGCCCCCGATTGTCGGTATTTTGATGAATTTAGCGACATTATTTACCGGAATTATTAATTTTGTATTTGAAGTTCGTAATGGATACTACAGTCTATGCCAGAAAATTTTCTCTGCAGGTCCACGTTTTATAACCCTCATGGTACCTCCTTATATTCGGTATTCTGATGATTTTAGCTGCATTATAAACAGATATATTTCAAGTTTCGCATTTGAATATTGCAATAGCTTATGGCAAAAGTTGCCTATGCAGGTCCACTTCGTCGTATATACGACTTTTTAACGGATTTTATTATTTTGAAAATTGACAAATTTGGCAATTAATTGCCAAATGGTGAAGAGTATTCAAAGTTCGGCCCGGCCGAACTTACAGCTTTTTTACTTGTTTTGCTTTCATTTAATAAAATTAAAAAAAAAGTGTAAAAATTATGGCGTTTGACTTTGTTGCAGTTTATTAAAATTGGGAGCCTGTAAAACCATTGAATCTCTTTAAACATTCGTGGTTTCCTATTAAATTAAATAATGCACAAATCTTCACCGAATTAAAGGAAAATACGCAACGTAATGCTAAGCGTCTGCTCTTTATATTTTAGGCGTTCTCACTTTCGAAGTAGGGAAAGAAAAGACCTCCAGAAAATAGCTATCTAAGCATGATGAATTTATGAAACATTACTCGTACTCCGAGATTTGTTGAGTTACAAAGTCGATATCACACCTAGAACAATTAAAGGTTTTATATGGACGTCGAACGTAGGTGTAATAGACCCTAAAGCCGGGAAGTCGATCGAGATTAAAGTGTATGGTAGTGTATGGGAAACACTGTTCCCTAGTACACACCAAAGTCAATACAGAAGAAAAGTTTGGTTTACACCGACAGAAGAAAAGTCTACTTTACACCCAAAAAAGTTAGCATTTATTTAACATATAATGGACTTGACAATCTAAAGACGGCGTAAAAACGGCTAAAGTTTACTAACTATGAATGTTGGAACAGACAAACGCTGTACCTTGTAACTTAACAACATTTATGAATATAAATTGTCGCATTTAGCACAATTTACATTTTATAAAGAAAAAATTCTCTCTCTCTCTCTCTCTCTTTATTCGAATATAAATTTATCATGGCAGACTCGCATCCTATCCTTAGGCACATAAAATCACTTTTCAGTATCAACGGTTATTCTTTTTTTTTTCTTTTTTTTTTCATTTAAATACTCCGGCCCTTAAAATGCTGAATAAACCTTCAATGCTTGTTCCTGTTGACATAAACTGCGCATTAACATTCCATTTCTCTTCCATTTCTGGTCCTAATCGCCTGTAGCTTCTTTGTGCCTGTGGCTATCATTAATGTAAAATATGTTGTAATACATTTCTTTAGAACGTCATTCGAATATTTTTTTGTTCCTGACCATTGTATTTCCATATACCAAGAAGTATGGGGAAAAAAGGCAAAATGGTGTGACGACCAGAGCTTTCATCCCTTATTCGCAAGTACTACTGGTATTTATGGACCGGAAATTAATACAATTCGGAAGCAAGAAAAAATTTGTTTAACTTGAAACCTCATCAAATACAAGTACACAAGTATTGTTGAATGCATAAAACATTCTCAATAAAATTGCTATTAAAAGAGGTTTTTTGGAAATGTTAGCATATTTGTGGTATATTAACCGCTTAGGTTAAATTTCGGCGTTATAGCGTGGTTATGAGGCAGTAGCGCTATATTCCTGTTTGAAGGAATTCATTTCTGAGATAACCTGTTTCTACTCAAATCGAATGGAAAATAGGGCCGATTACATACAATGTTTAAGACTTATGTAAAGTGACTTAACAAAGTATTCTGAAAATTTTAGACGCTCCATAGATTTTTTAATGCAAAAACATGTTAAAAAGCAGTAAGTTCGGCCGGGCTTAACTTTGAATAGCCTCCACCATTTGGAACGAATTTGGAAATTTTCAAAAAAAAAAAAAAATAATAAATAAATAAAATAGAAATAAACAAATAAATAAACAAGTAAAAAAGTAGTAAGTTCGGCCGGGCCGAACTTTGAATACCCTCCACCATTTAGAACGAATTTGAAAATTTTCGAAAAATAACATTCGCCAAAAATTCTGTTATCATTTTAAAAATACCGAATATAGCCGTTATATTAGGGCCTGTATGACGTGCAACTACATAGGCATTGTTTTTTACAAGCCATTGCCATATTCAAATTCGAAACTTGAAATAAACGGTGAATAATGTAGCCAAAATCATCAAAATACCGTACATAGGGAGGTATCGATATTTAGGGGCTATACGAAGACTTGGACCTGCATAGGCAATCTTCTGTCCTAGGCTGAAGTACCCATTAAGAATTTCAAATACGAAATTTGAAACAATTCCGGTGAATAGTGTCGCTGAAATCAGCAAAATACCGAAAATAGGGAGGTACCGATATAGGCGGACTATATGAATACGTGGACCAGCATATGCAATTTTCCGTCATAGGCTGTAGTACCTATTACGAACTTCAAATACGAAATTTGTAAAAGATCTGGTAAATAATGTCGGTAAAATCATAAAATTACCGAATAAAGGGATGTACCGATATTTAGGGGCTATACGAAGACCAGGACCTGCACAGACAATTTTATATCATAGATTGTAGTACCTGATAGGAACTTCAAATACAAAATTTGAAACGAGTCCGGCAAACAAAGTCGTTAAAATCATCAAAATACCGAATATAGGGATATACAGTTATATGGGGACTATAACTAAACGTGGACCTATATACAGGGTTGCCCATATTCGACGGACCCATCTGACAACGCCATAACTTTTGACAGAGATGTCACATCGCTTAATGACATACCGCGTTTGAAGCGTCAGTCCAAGCAGATTTTTACCATGAACCAATACACTCCACGCGAGCTCTCTGAAATAGTTGAAATTTACATTCAACAGAAGAAGTCAATTGTGAAAAAAATGTGAGAAGTGCGCCTTCTAAGAACACCATTAAGCGTTTATGCGAAAAATTTTCGACTGGTAAGGCTCTTTCTAATCCGAAGAGACCAAGGCGATCGGCCGAGAATATCGCTGCCGTACGAGCAAGTGTTGAGAGGTCCCCAAGAACAACCCAAAAACGCCGTTCTCAGCAGTTGGGCATGGCTCGGTCCACTTTACAACGGATTATTCTCATTGATTTGCATTTGTTCCCGTACAAAATTCAATTGACGCAAAGAATGTTGCCTGTGGACAAGCCTCGTCGATTGGAATGGGCCCAAAGGTCCGTCGAATATGGGCAACCCTGTAGTCCATTTCCGATAGCAAAAGTCCTGCAGACGAAACAAACATTTGAGTAACATTGTATCAACATACTTCAATTTCCGGTTTATTATGCACCAAATGGCTAATATCAGCCCAAATGGACTGAATTTTGTTGCTTACTGTAACATCCATATCAAATTTAGGGATTCTAGCTCTATAAATTCACAGAATATCAAATTTAGTAACATTTAGTACTTATCGTATTATTTTAGTACCCATTTCCCAAACCGTTCCATATCTCAATCCTCGACACCAACAGTAGTCGCAATATAAAATTTCACGATTTCAGCTCTATCCTTTCCCCCAATACCGAATTTTGTACCATTTAGTACTTTTCGTACAACTATAGTACGTATTTCCAAAAACACCTTCAAATCTTAATCTCAGAATATAATTTTTCAAAATTTTTTATCTCTATTCCCTCAACCAAGACCAAATTTAATACCATTTAGTACAGTCATTGTACGCATGTCTGAATCTAGCCCCTTCTCTCAACCAAAAACACCATATATCAATGAGAAATTTCAGGATTTCAGTTCTATCCCTTCATTAAATAACAAATTTGGTACCATTTTGTACTTTTCTTACAAATATAGAAAGCACTTCCAAACCACCACCAAATCTCAATCTCAGATACCAACAGAGACCTGAATATTAAATTTCGGGATTTCAGCACTATTAGCCGTAGACACTAACAATGACAGCTATATCAAAAATTTCGGGATTTCAGTTCTATTCCTTCACCCAATACCAAATTTAGTACTATTTAGTAGTTTTCCGTACAAATATAGCACGCGCTTCCAAACCACCGCCAAATTCGCAAACACAGATAGTATTAGTAATATAAATATGATTTCAGAATTTAATCTCTATCCCTTCACCCCATATCAATTATTACTTTTCGTACAATTATAATATACACTTCCCAAACCACCTCCTAAGACCAAATTTCAGATTTCAAGCACTATCTGTCCACACAATACCAAATTGTACCAAATATGGTATTATTTAGTACCTTTCATTCACTTGTAGTACAAATTTCCTTTTTATCAAAAACCTACCTGCAACAGGGACCCCAATACAAAATTTAAAAATGCTGTTTCATCCGTTCACCCTAAAAAACTGTTCCAAATTTAATACTATTTAGTATAGTTCGTACACTTTTCCAAAACTACTTTCATATATGAAACGTATTCTTCATTATTGATTTTTATACCAAAATTAATGTTTTTTCTTTAATTACGAATTTCCCAAAACCCAGCCTTATCACACGCCTTGAGCTCTGAAATTAAACAAGTTTGTACACCTTTTCGGGTGAAAGTCGTAAAGTTGTATTTGTAATTGGTGATTTTCGTTCTAGGTAATAATATTTCAATTGTAATTTGAGAACAACATACATCAGACATGTGGCTTAGGTTGTTAAAATACCGAATATAGGGAGGTTTTAGGCTGCCTTTAAGAAAACGTGGAAAACTAATGATAAAAGTTAAGCGCTTACCTGAACATGTAAAATTTGCAATCATATAAATAAGCATAGAGAACTTACTTTCTTAGTGTGGCCACAAAACTGTAAATATACACAACTACGGCCGTTAGAAAATAAGCTAGTGGTAGTAAGTATCCATGAGCTGCGGCGCCAGTAGAACTTGAATAATAACTGCAACAAGAAGATGTTTATATTATAATTTTTCATGATGTTTATAACAATTATTATATTCACTTACCCATAAAACATTGGAGAATATTTCAGATAACCCTCAAATTCCCATATTGTCAACAGATTTCCAGCCACTTTATTTTCTCGATCTGTCATTCTTTTTCGTGGATCAATTTCATCGTTTTTTGTTCCAAAATACTGCCGAAAAATTATACAAATTTTCACAATGAGAGCAACGTGCATCTAATACTACTTACCTCCGGTCCAATGACAAACAATACCAGGGGCAGGGCAATCATTACATTCATATACATCAGCCAACGGAGAAATGTAAAATAGGAAGCTACACCTGATCCAAAATGTGATTCGATTTCTTTTATTCGTAACTCCCAGGGTATGAGAACGGTAAGGAAACTGTAAATTTCACGTTTCCAATGACGCCATCGCTAAAAAGTTGAATTTTATCAAAAATTTGTTATTACAATATAACTTAAAATAAGATACATAAGTGGCTTAAGGAGACAACGTTTATATAATGGTGATATCTGACTGATATTACATAAAGTTTGAATATATTTAGGAAAAAACATTTTTTTGAAACTAGAAGGATAAAATTTTGCACTCATTTTTACTTTTCCAGTAGGCAGATTAAGTTCGTAAATGGGTCATGTAGGTCTACGTCTTCGTATAGCCGCCATATAACGGTACGATATTCTGTATTTTGATGATTTTAGCGACATTATTCACCGGAATTGTTTCAAATTTGGTATTTGAACGTCGAAACGGACACTACAGGCTAAGAAAGAAAATTATCTGTGCAGGTCCACGTCTTCGTGTAGCCTCCATGTAACGGTACCTCCCGATATTCGGTATTTTGATGATTTCAGCGACATTATTCATCGGAGTAGTTTCAAATTACGTATTTAGGGTTCGTAATGGGAACTACAGTCTGTGACAGAAAATAAGCTCCATATATCAGAGCCTCCCTATATTCGGTATTTTGACGAGTTTAGGTTCAATGCCCACCGAAATTGTTTGAGATGTCGTATTTGAAGTTCGTAATGGATGCTACAGCCTGTGACAGAAAATTACCTATGCTGGTCCAGGTCTTCGCACAGCTCCGATGTAACGGTACCTCCCTATATACGATATTTCGATGATTTAAGCTGCATTATTCACCTTTTATTTCAAGTTTCGAATTTGAATATGGACAAACAATGCCTACATAGGTTCACGTCGTACAGATCCCAATATAACGGCTATATTCTGCATTTTTTAAATTTAAAAGATTTTTTTAAGGTTTTTTTTTTTTGAAAATTTCCAAATTCGTTCCAAATGGTGGAGGGTATTCAAAGTTCGACCCGGCTGAACTTACTGCTTTTTTAATTTATATTTTTTTTTTAAATACATCTTTGACAGAAATTATTTTGGTCTTTCTTATACCCTCCACCATATTTATTATATCTTTTGTAACTACTAGACGACTGATGACGTTAAACCATTTCGATCCTTTCTTCAATTTTCCAAACAGTAAAAACACCCTTTAAAAAAAAAAAATGATATATGTATGAAAAGGGTAACATTTTAATCAAATTTTTGTGTAGGTAGTAAGAGTCATCTGCCAATAATTAAAAATAAAAAGTCCTCCCTCCACCTCGATGGCAGGGATACATTTCGGAAACCATTTGTTTGCATACTTTTTAAATTAGTTTTAAAAAATAGTAAATGGAAAAATAACGATGAGGAATTATTGCCAATATACAGGATGAGATGAAAAAAACTGCAACCAACTTCAGACTGATGTCATTTCTATGCCATTTGTCCGACACCTGTTCTGTATTCCACTGACAGCTTATTATATTGTTATCAAGCGTACAAAAGCATTTTGGTGAGAATTTTCCAGAAAAAAGTTTTTCGTAATAGAACTCAAGCGTTTATATTTGGCTGGAAACACACAAGTGGTCAGAGCATTCCAGCATTTAAATGTGAATAAATCTTTGTGTGTCGTACCATCGCTCGTTATGGTGATACTGGTAGCGTAGCCCGTCATCAAGGAAGTGGATGGAAGAAAACAGCAACATTAGCAGAAATGGTTCGAAAAGTAAAGAACCGACTTCATTGAAACACGCATCGCAGTGGGGGAAAAATGGCTCGTGAGCTGAACATATCACAATATTCCATTCGGCAAATATTGAAAAATGAGCTCGGGGTAAAGCCATTGAAATTCAAAAAAGTGTAAGAACTTACACCGCAACGGAAAGAAAATAGACTCAAAAGAGCTAAAGAGTTGGTCGAAAGTGGTGAACTGCCGAATTTGGTTTTCTCCGATGAGAAAACATTCGGTGTCCAGCAGTTTATAAACAAACAAAATGATCGTGTTTACTTGCCAAAGAGGTCAGCTGAAAATGTGCACCTTCGGTTGGCGACCAGAACTCAAGCGCCGGCCATGGTGATGGTGTGGACCGCCATAACAGCTGATGGTCGTGGCATCACAATAAATGCCGAATATTAACGCAAAAATATTCTGGAGGGAGTATTAAAGCCTTGGGAAGACAAACATTTTGGCCGCAGACCTTGGACATTCCAACAGGACTCAACACCATCGCACTCACCACGCGCCACCCAAGAATGGTTACGAAATGAGGTTCCTCGCTTCATTTCCAGTGCACAATGGCCACCAAAATCACCGAATACCAATCCGTTGGACTATTGTGTCTGAAATATTTTGGAAAGCAAGGTTGGAACTAAAAAATACCAAAGTGTCGATCACCTCAAGCAAGCCCTCAAGCACCGCAGAGCAACATTCGGGCAGCGTGTGATGGTTTCATTAGCCGCTTGAAGGCCATAATTCGTGCCAAAGGTGACCAATTGGATTAAATCTAAACTTATTCTAAAATTTGATGCTATTTCCGAAATTTTTTGCTTTCATTCAATAAAATTAAAAAATAAAAATTATAGTATTTGACTTTGTTGCAGTTTTTTTTATCTCACCCTATATATATGATATTTGTGCTGAATTCGTTCGAATGTGCCGATATCTATTCAATATGGACTTACATAAACCATTTGGTGCGCAACTAAAGACAATTGGTACGAAGGTATATATAGGCTATATTCAAATCGAAATCGATCTAAATAACATTTGGCATATACATTTCTGAGCTGTTTCATTTTATGTTTCCCCGAATATCGTTTTTACGTAGTGCATTTTACGGCTGTGGAGGACAAATATAACAAATTGAATGAATATTATATGTGGGAACTATAACTATATCTGAACCGATTTCTACCAAATTTGACATATTTTTTTCTAGGGCCAATTTGGTCGTATGTACGAAATTGTATTCTATTTGGACTAATATTACACATTTTGTGCACAATAAAAGGCAAATCGGACAAAGATATATATGGGAGCAATATCTGAATTTTTGACTGAAAATTTCCAATTTCAATAAAGTCCGTCCTTGGGGCAAACACATGATTTGTGCAAAATTTCATTTGGATCGGGCAATAAATTCGACCTGTACTTTATTTACAAAAATACATGGACAGACGAACGGACTGACGGACGGATATGCATAAATCGACTCAGAATGTGATTCTATGCAGATCATCAAAATGGACTATGGGTCTATCTCGCTTCCTTCTCAATGCTACAAACAAATGCACAAAAGACATAATACTCTGATATTGAAAATGTTGACACTTTTGTGGGGGAGGTACCAGAAGGAATGTACCAAGATATTCCATTTTCACACCACTCTTTGGTAAAATGTTGTGATGTGTGAAATTTGAAGACAATCGGACACAAACATCACATTTTATAAGAGTTATAATCATACAAATGTTGACCCTTTGTGGGGATGGTTGTTGTTGTTGTAGCAGTTTTACATGTTCTGTTGTTTTTTTCTGACTAATCCGGTTCTTCCTCAATGTCCAGGTTTAGTAATTCTGCTACCTTTATGGGCTGTAGCCATGGATCCTCTGGACGGAGTTGGGTAGGTTTGGCTGGACAAATTAAACAAGTGCAGCGTGTTGTGCGGGCCTGTATCGCACGCTGGGCAGGCGTTCCGCACATCCTCATCAATTCGTGCCCAATACGAATTGAGACGGCTGCATCATCCTGAACGTAGTTGGGCCAAAACTACCCTGGTTTGCCTAGGCAGCCGACGTTCTTCAGCTGCAATGGATGGGGGAGGACTCCGAGTATGGCATTCATACTGTAATTATTAACTACCTCTGCGACTGCATCAGCATGAATGCTATTCAGACCCGCTTGATAGGCTTTATGATCTTATATCGCTGGACCTCTCTCTCTAGATCGTGCAGGTCCTTACTGACACTCCTGGGTGGGGGAGTTCTATCCACCATATGGTGGTTAGGGTGACTCCCACGATAACACACAAGCAGGTACTGCAACGAAAGCATATGATTATACTGACAATCATCCGCATAAGTTACGATCTCGATAGGTCGAGAGCCACCACTACTGTTCTGTGGCACGGCCTGTTCTGGTTGAGTCCTCGATTGATATGTGTGGATATGGCGTGCAATGCTGTTGTAGTGCTATGTAGTGGACGGAAACCGTATTGATGGTTAGCAACTGAATAGCTTCCTCTGATACTGGAGAGGAGTAAGGCCTCAAGAGTCTTTGCTACTGGCGACAAAACCGAAATCGGCCTGTATGATTCGCCTTTGCTGGCATCCTTGCCAGGCTTCAGTAGCGAGACCACCCTGCCCATTTCCCAGGCTTCGGGAACTATGTGGGTGGCTAACGACTCCCGGCGTATCCAGTTGTTTCAACATTACCATTGATATTCCGTTTGGGCCCAACGCTTTAGATGACTTAGCTTTTCGGATGACATTCGCAACATCGCCCAGCGTAAACTGTAGAGGTACATCCTCTGCGGGAAGAGCTCTTATACGACGTAGTACTCTTCGCCTCGCCCTATCACTCTCGGGGTGCTCGACAAATTGGCGGTTAAAACAGCCAGCGCACCTCTTCGGATCAGTCACAGTTACGTCGCTAAATGTGACTGAGGTCCTATCATCCTTTTTTCCAGGGTTCGAGAGTGACTTTACCGTTACCCACAGTTTACTCAAATCGGTTCCAATGTTGCAACACTTCAGATGGTCTAGCCACTTTTCCCGCTTATGCTCCTGTACCAACCGGTTGACTTCCACTGTCAGTTCAATGACTCTGGGATTAGTAGGGTTGGTACGTCGGAGCTCATCACGCTCATTCGCTAATCCCGCTGCCTCTGCTGGGAAATTTGGTCTTACTTCGGGTCTTCGACCAGCAGGTATATAGCGAGCGGCTGCAGTTTTGATGATGTCCCGGAAAATCCTTTCAGCTACCCGAACATCAGAAGAATTGGGCAGTTCTCTGAAGCGAAGGTTGGTGAAGTCTCTGAACTCGGGCCAGTGGGCTTTCCCATGGTTAAGG